TTTTACATTTTTAACTATGCATCGTAATATCTCTGATCCTAGGATAGGTAGAGTAAAAATAAAAATACTTTCATGATATAATTTAACCCCAAGCTATCGATTAACCTTTAGAGGACTGGAGTGGCCCCTATAGGAGCCACGTATAAATCGGCATTCAATGTTTTCTTAAAGGTTATATTATAGTTATTTATGCATTTATATCGATGTTTATGTGCTCTAAAAATATATTTGCATGTATTCATGTGATTTTTACCTTACTTGTAAATAGACATTTATTAACAAGTACATATTTTAACCGCATAGTAATTTACATCTCAGTACGTTCTTATTTATAATAGACCCACTTTCTCTCAGAATGATATAAAATCAACACACAACACTATTAGTCCAGTAAGCAAAATGCTAACAGAATGCGCGCAGATTGACGCCAATTTCGATCAGATTTCCACATCAAAACCATAGCCATCTGTGTCCTCATTAAGCTCGTGTTTTGTCGACAGGACCTGTGTGACAGGCCGTGCGAGCAGATTGTCGGCAGAAACCGCGCAGGTCCTGCTGCCAAACTACACGTAGAGTCTGCGCGTAGAGTTTGCTCGGTTTCTGCCGTCAATCTGCCGTCAAATTACTGCAAGTCTTGTGCGGTTTTTACTACAAATCTGCCGTCAAATATCTGACAACAGGATCTGGCGCATATTTGACCGCATATTGGCGGCATAATTTGATATAATAGATTCTGCGTTAAATTTGTTGCCTATTTGCCATCAAACTATGATAGCAGGCTTTGTTCGAAATCTGCTCGCGCAGGTTTGGCTATCTAGGTAGAGTTTCGATTGCGCACAGTGCGTGATAACAATCACTCTAAAAGTAACAAATAAATATAAAAATATAGAAAAATAGTTTTTGAAATAAAATAATTTTCATTAAATTTAAAACCAAAATTTAAAAACTTATAAAATAAAAAATAAAAAAAATTTTTAAATAACAAAAAATATAAAAAAACAAAGGAGCTACATAATTTTCTACATCCACGTCGTTAGCAGGTTATGCTAAAGGAAAGTTTACTGTCGAGCCTGTCCAGCCCTTCCTACCCGATTAGGTGGACAGGGATTTCAGGACTCTGACGTTTAGGATGATACAGATGTTCACTGGGCATGGCTGCTTCGATGAGTACCTGTGTCGAATCCAAAAGGAACGCATGACACAGTGCCATGACTCCATGCAGCGTACTCTCTAGGACTGCCCCCCCTAGGCAGTTGAGCACGGAGTCGCGATCCGGGAACTGGGCCGTGACCTCTCGCTCCCTGTGCTTATTACCACCATCCTGGGGAGCGAGAGAAAGTGGCAAACCTTCGCCTCCTTCTGCAAGTCAGTAATGGCTCGCAAGGAGGAGGCGGAGTGGCTCCGCCAAGTGACGGGCGGTAGAGGCAGAGGCCGCGGGAGGGAGCGACGCCGTCGTCGCTGCCAGCGACGTGGGTCGGGAAACAGCGGCGGCGGCGAAGACTCCTCCGAGGAGGAAAGGGTGGTGAGGGCCATTATGGACCCCCCCCCACCTCCTCCACCACCGGCACCACCAAGAAAGAGAAGGCCAGAACCGGCCGGAGCCGCGGGGCCCCGAAGTTCAGCGGAGCAACGCGGCAGGAGAGGAGGACATAGGAGAGGAGTTACTCCTCTACTTTCAATGCAGGGACGAGCAGGCGCAGCTAGGCGGGGGACAGTCCTCCACCAGCCCCCCAGCCTTCCCCAGGACGAGGATCGGATGAAATTAAGGGGGGGAGTGCATAATGACAGTCAGTCATCGCTGAATGCCTCCTCCCTGCCTAAAAAAACCCACGCAAATGCGGGTTATGAAGGAGGGAGAATCGATAGGAATGACCTCCCCTCGCCTTTCAGGCGAGAGACCCTGGCGGTTAGGGCATATTTTTCCCCTGTAACCGCTGGGGTGGAGGGTGGGACTCCGGGTGAGGATACCTAGAACTACATTCAACCCTCTAAGAGAAGAAGCGGCGAGGTGGCGGTGGCTCACCTCGTCTCACAACATCTGAGGCGGCGCCTCGTCTGGCTGGGAACGGCGGTTAAGGATCGACCTTGGTCGGCCTCCCCCTTCTCAGCACCACAGACGGGGCGTGAGGGGTGGACGGAGGATGGTTGAGGAGGAGCTTTGGCTTGGCCTCTCCCCTCCCCCATTCCTCGGGGACAGGCGACTTCTGTCAGGACCCGGGGCCCCGATTGCAATTACGCGGCTCTGGGGCCCCGAGAAAAGTCCTTTCGCAGTGCCACCCGGGGAGGTTTTAGCCGATAGGAGTCCGTCATAACCTCGGGCCCTTCCCCGAGGGTCCAAAGTATCCATGATGGATTTCCTCCTCGTAAAAAAAAAAAGGAAAGTTCCTCCTCTTTTATCAGCATCACCTGGGCAGGGGAAACTGTGGGGTGGAGCCGCGGGGCCCCGAAGCCTAGCGGAACAACGCAGCGGTAGGAGAGGAGGTCAGAGGGGAGAAGTTATACCTCCCCAGCCCCCAGTACCGACACTACATGACGCAGCCAGGGGGGTCAGACCATCAGCTCCCCAGCCTTCCGCCGCTCCCTAGGACGGGGATCGGATGATAACAAGGGAGGGGGAGTGCATGACGATGATTAGTCGTCGTCGTAAATGCCCCCCCTGCCTGAAAGATCCGTACATACCATGTGCGGGTCAGTAAAAAGGGGGTCAGTAAAGAGATTGGGAGTGACCCTCTCGCCTTTCAGGCGAGAGCTGTCCGGCGGCTACAGGACTTTTTTCCCCCGTAATCACCAAGCAGGAGGGTGGGGCTCCGGGCGACGATTCCTGGGGCTCCATCTAGCCCTCTTACAGAAGGAACGGCGAGATGGCGGTAGTCTACCTCGTTGCACAACATCAAAGGCGGCGCCCTGTCTGGCTGGGAACGGTGGTCGAGATTGACTTCAGTCGGCCTTCCCCTTCCCAGCACCACAGACGGGGCGTAAAGGGACGGAGGGTGGCTGAGGAGCTTCGGCTTGGCCTCCGCCCTCCCCCACCTCTCAGGGACAGGCGACGTTTGTCTGGACTCGGGGCCCGATTGCAGTTACGCGGCTCCGAGGCCCCGAAACAAGTCCCTTCGCAGCGCCACCCGGGTCGTATTAAATTGCATTAGAACTCAGATATAGATTTGAACGTATCTTATAAATTTCTTGTGATAACTTTAAATCTAGTATTAAGAATAACTTGAGAAGTTGAATTTTATTATAACGTGTGTATGGTGCAAACATATTTTTGTAGCTAACATTAAAATTGTTAATACAACATGAACGCGCCAAGGGTTTTTTTATTTTTGGTTAATCTTCATAATTTTTTTTTTCAATTCCTTGTATGTTTGGATTAAATATTTTGCTTTCTTTTTTTTTAATTTAGTATAAAGTTTGTAAGTTAACGCATATTACTTGCATTGCAAAAGAACAAGAACATAAGAAATATATAACAAAGAAGAAATGTAATAACATAATACTAGTTTTTCATATTCACTTGATGCAACATGGACAGCAGGTCTTAAAGGATAGCAACCTTTGACTTTGAGAGATCACCAGCTTGTACCACTAGGTACAAGTAACAATGCCTCTCTCTATAGTCGCTGTGCGCTCGGGATAGCACTAGAGATGTCGCTTCCGAACGACATCTCTTAACGTTATCTAGGGAGAGGAAAATGTCGTGAGCGTGGAGCGTCAGGTAGCTCAGTGGTTTAGAACAGTCGCCCGGCAAGCGAAAGACCCGGGTTCGATTCCCAGTCTAGCGACTACCGCGCTCTCGATGTTTTTCTCTCTTCGGAACGAAAATAAAATGTAGGTCCCGAACGCACGGCATCTCGTCGCCACCTAGTACGCCCTCCTTTCATGATAATAATATCACTATCCTAATATCACTATTTTTGTGGTGAAAAATATAAAAAGAGTAGAATGAAATGTTTGCAAATGTTACAAATTACTATTTTTTAGAACCAATTTTCTAAGGAAATTTTATTTTCATCATTTTTGTTGAAAGTGAAATTATAAATAAAAGATATACGCACAGAGCGCGTATCTTGGCTTTTTTTACCTTTTTTGAAAGGTTTGTTATAAGATATTTGTTTGCGCACATGCGTATTATGATTTCAAGAAACCGTTAGGGCTACGTGGACCTTTTTCTCGATTAGTATTCTTTCGATTATTGAGCAATAAGGAAGTCACCGTTATAGTGTGTGTGATCATATAAGTTAACAATAAAAATGAAATCAAATGTATATTCATCATAATAGAACATATTCAAATGTTAGCAAAATCTGATATATCAAAAGTAGATTTAATTAACAGTATCGCATATCTTCGAGATAAATATTTTGTATATTTTTGTAAACATTAAATGTATATAAAAGATATGACTTGCTAATAATAAATTTTTTCACAGATACGTTATTACAATTTAATTTGATTTATGCCGAACCACCCAAAAAATTCACAAATTGTTGTAAAAAAATCAGTGGAAAATTATTTGAAACTTTTATTAAAATGTTGGGTAAATGAATTTTATAATAACAATTAAAACATTTATTCTTGTTATTTTTTATATAATAAGACAGATATTATTGTATATATGTGCATTATATTTTTGTCCTATAAAAAATAATAGAAATATTAAAAATATTATAAAAATATAAAATATAGTAATACATAATATTATAAAAAAGAAAAGAAGTTGGCACTGCGAGGACTCGGACACTCCTCGGACGTAGACGACAAAATACTAGCACGCGCCTTTGCTTCCGCAGATACCGCGCTTCACGCTTATTGATTCCAAGTTACTATACTTAACATGTAACTGTTATTTTAATTGCAAATTTCTCGCAACCGAAGGCCCATGCACGCAAACCCTTTTAGGGTATATACTCAACCCCCCCATTCGAATGAAATATAACTCATTCAATTATCGATTTTACATGTCTTGCCATTCCTTGTTAGTTTCAACTACATATACTAACCACTTTGGCAATGTCTTGCCACTACATGTCAATACGCAATGGTGGAGATAATGCACGAACTTTAATTTACTTGTTACCGTCTCCACGATGTCACCATCCTCTCCATTCGTTATCAATACCTTCCAGACATCATTAGCATCACCTGTACCATTCTAAAAACAAACATGAATAATTGAAATAAACATAAATAATTGAGAAACAAGTTAAAAAAGATTTATATTTATAATCTTACTTCTCCGTATCCAGTAATTTGATAATGTTTCTTCGATATTGGTGCAATTTCTTTGTGAGAATGTAGATTCCGCCTCGTGATTACATGCTCTAGGCGAATGAGGTCACCATGTTTGACTAGCATTGCTTCTGATAACATTTCTTCTGTATCAAATTTTTTCACTAGCCACAGATTATTGTCATCTTTATGAGAATAAGTCGTGATCTATAATAAGATATAATATTTAACAATATTTAACGATATTTTATCATTGATAACTACTGATAACAACGGAAATAATTTCAATGACTTTAATTTTGATACATGTGGAATTCATCTTATTAACAAGAGGAAGACGCATCGACCGGGAAACGGTTTGGAACGAAACTTACGGAGTTAATAGTACTTGATTACTAATAACTCATGGTAATAGCATACGACGCAATACCTCTTCGTTTTCGAGAAAAAACGGTCTAAAGAAAAGAGCCAACAAAGTGTACGAGTTAGTAAGAAGGATATTCAATGAAGCGGCGTAGCGCAGCAGCGAAGGTAACGAACTACCGAGCTGCTGACGGCTGAGGTTCGATCCCTGCTGTATGGTTTTTTTTATTCTGTAAGCATAAAAATGAAACAGAAAACATTAATAAATAATAAAACTGCGTTTCTTAAATATATTAGTGTTTGTTAAATATATTATTAATGATTTAAATTACAAAAAGACCGTAAATCTTATCTATAAAATATATAGTGTATGAGAAAATTTTTATATAATAATTGCAATGGAAATAGGGATAAAAATATTGTTATGAAATATATAAGTATGCTATTAACCCTTTGCGGTCGATGCCGCCACAGTGGCGGCATTCGCAGTGGCGGCGTTCGTCGTAGAAGTCGATGCCTCCAGGCTGGCATTCATGATCGCCTGGCGGGCGGCACGGCAAATGAGGCTAGCGATAATGAAAGAAAACTATCCTCCCGATGCTAGATTCAAATGTTTAGATCAACTTACAGATATCCATGTTTATCGATCTCTTCGAAATCGGCCGATCGCAAAGAGTTAAACTAGTATGAGATAATTTTTCGTAATCTTATATCGTATATATAAAATATTTATTTCTGTTACAACTCTCTATGTTGTATTAAAGTCGTGTTGAAGTTGTGTTGTGTCTTTATCTCTTCTGGCAATCCCCCTCCAAAAACTTCCTTTGTGTCATTCTAAACGATCGTTAAGAATGACGAAATGATTCGAGCATCGGAACAGTCGTCAGTAGAGCAAGCAGCAGTGTGCGTTTACTAGTGATACAGAGCAATTCGGTGATCATATTTAAATTACATATATCATAACAATGTCAGAGAATCCTTCAACAAGCAAAATAGTTGATGTAGAATCGCTAGAAGAAAGATCTTTTGAAAATTAAAATTTTAAAGGTGAATTCACTAATGCTCTCGTATATGCGAATTCTATTTACGAGAATAATGAATTATTATCGAAAAATCCTCCAGCGAAAATATAATATATTTTTACTCCTATTTCCATTGCAATAATTATATAAAAATTTTCTCATACACTATATATTTTATAGATAAGATTTACGGCTTTTTGCAATTTAAATTATTAATAGTATACTTAACAAACACTAATATATTTAAGAAACGCAGTTTTATTACTTATTAAGTTTTCTGTTTCATTTTTATGCTTACAGAATAAAAAAAACCATACAGCAGGGACCGAACCTCAGCCGTCAGCAGCTCGGTAGTTCGTTACCTTCGCTGCTGCGCTACGCCGCTTCGTTGAATACCCTTCTTACTAACTCGTACACTTTGTTGGCTCTTTTCTTTAGACCGTTTTTTCTCGAAAACGAAGAGGTATTGTGTCGTATGCTATTACCATGAGTTATTAGTAGTCAAGTACTATTAACTCCGTAAGTTTTGTTCCAAACCGTTTCCCAGTCGATGCGTCCTCCCCTTGTAAGTAATTTTCAAAAAGTTTCAGCTGTTGTCGATTATTGATTGAAAAGTTATAAACGAAAGAAGTTTTATAGATGCGATGTAATTTTCCGACACTATATACATTAAAAAATAAATAATGAAGGAAATTTATAAAAATATATATGTGTATATAAAACAACCCAGCAAACAGAATATAATTCTTATATAACATGGAAGTAGCATATAATAAAATATATGTTATACTCTAGTTATATTGAGGTTATATAATTTAGTTTCATAATTGTAATATGATTATGTATACAGGATGGTTTAAAAGTCTGAAAACGGTTCATTATCTCTGAAAGTAGTGGTCCTGTAGGAAAATGTTTCGGACAAAAGTTGTAGAGTTTTAAGTAATGCATTACACAGCAATATTATTATGACCTTAAAGAGTGCTGTCAAGGTCAAATAAAAATCACTTTGAATTTTTAATTGGAAATCCTCATTTTTTATTACATACTCTTATAGCTTATTTTAAAAGCTTTCTAAAACACTATATTTAATTTATTTTTCATAAAATACTTCCCGAGTTATGAAGCTTACAGGATCGCTGCTTTCAGAGATAATTAGCCGTTTCCAGACTTTTAAACCACCCTGTTACATTGTTTTGTTATAAGTTAGAGATAACATTATAATAATAATATAGCACAGTAATGTAATATGTTATGTAACACGTTATATAAAAGTAATTACGTTCATATTACATTGATGTTATATAACACAATTATCCATGTAATCCATTAAAAGCTGCAAATGTTTTCTATTCTGCGAATAATGGTACATTCCGATAAAGGAAGAAATCTTAAAGCGGAACAGTAACAAATAAAAGAAATGGTGGGAAGCTAATCAATCAGAAATTCCGTTCCGCTTTTTCGTGGATGCTTTGTTGTGTAGTTCTATATTTTTTGTATGTTTAATGCCTTCATTGCGCTTAAGCAGACTATATTGCCTATTTATATTGACCTTCATAATGCATACTGATATATATATATTCCTACAAAAATGTACGTCGAATCCGTGGAACGCACGTATTTAAACGTTTAAGAACGCTTGTATATTATACAAAACTCACACAGAATAATGAATTATTATCGAAAAATCCTCCAGCGAAAATATAATATATTTTTACTCCTATTTCCATTGCAATAATTAATTAATAAAAATTTTCTTATACATTATATATTTCATAGATAAGATTTACGGCTTTTTGCAATTTAAATTATTAATAGTATATTTAACAAACACTAATATATTTAAGAAACGAAAATTTATTTAGATTTAATATTCTTACTTGTTTCACTTTGAGGTGTTTGATTTTGAGTAGTATTAAAATATTATATTTTTACAATATCATTTTAAAAAATAAAAAATCTATTATATTAAAAAAAACCATGTTGATGGAAAGCACGATTTGAGAGATCAAAAGTTTCTTTTGGACTTAGTAATTAAAATTTTTTATTTGGACTTCATTGAATTTATTTCAAACTATTCTTTTAGGGAGGTTAACCATTATAATACTCCATTATTCTCAGTAATTTTAAAACACAGCCTATACTGATATTCGTTGCATATCGAATATTCTTTCAATTTTTTACAATGAAGGTTATAATGTCCTGTGAATATCAAGAGGCACAGTAGTGTTTCGCGTCAAGTTTAAGCGTAATAAAGTTGCGCCCGAACGGCGCGAGGCATTACGCGAAACTGCGAGTTGGAACGAGGTAAGATATTCATATCTCAGCAATGACTAAATCGATCAAAGTTTTTTCTCAATCCTAATCAATTCGGCCTTAAAAATAGGAAAAAAATATCCTTGTGTTTTTTGTGTACGTTGTCTCTAAGTGTAGATATTATAAAATAAAGTCCGAATCACGGAAAATTTCGATTCAATAAAAAAGTAAGAACCGCTAGACTGCAGAGGAGAGAGGAGTAATATAGGGGTAAGTATGGCCAGTCAAAACATTCCCCCTCTACTCGACCCCCAGCGCCAGCAGACCACGCCCACTCGTCGCCGGAAATCGAGTGGAGTGAGAATGTTTTGACTGGCCATACTTATTCCTAAGGTTTAATTGGTCGATTTTTTGTCATATGCAAATTATGGGCGTGGCTAGTGAATGGCGGAAATTTGAACCACCGGAGTAAAAATTAACATAATCTAAAAATTAGCATAATCTAAATATTAAATTTTTATTACTCATATTGGGCGTTAGAGATTCTAGTTCTTAGTCAGCTGATTAATTTGCATATTACTTTTGGAAAAATCTGCTAGACACTCTGCGAGGCTCGAACCCGGGACCTTAGGCTCTTGAGTCAAACCGTCTTTACCACTGCTCTACTGCTACTCTTTGGTAGAAATTGGTTTTACGACGTACACGTAGAACGGAGAGAGGTGTGCGTGTGTGTGTGTGTGTGGTGTGTGGTTAGTGCGAAAAGTTTCTGGAAAAATCCTGTAAGGCCCTGGTCGGATTCGACCTTGGATCCGCTGGCTTTCGAATCAAGCGTATTATGCACTACACTACTGCTATACCCTGATGGAAACTAGCTGTATTATATACATAAGGAGAGTATCGATGTCACACGCGAAAAATTAGAAAACTTCTAGACCTTACGGGACTCGAACTCCCCTGAGGCCCCTGCCTGAGTCGCGCGAGCATGTTCGAGCAGGCGGGGATAATTTCGAAGATAAAAACTACCTAGCGATTGTTGGAAGACGATACCACCGGTCTATCTCTACCCGAATATTTTTAACTGTATGGGTCCCCTCGCTTTCGAACTCGAATTTACAATGGGATTTGTTACCTCGAACTGGAAATCACAGGGAAGAGAGAAAAGGTGAAGAGAAAGGAACGCACAATATTTTTCATAGAATTAATTTACATTTTATTTTTCATGATTAAGATGAGGCGTTTATTATAATTGCTCGTACAATTTTATTTAAATAAATTGAAGTAATTTCTTGAAATATAATGGGGAAATAAGTATGTAAAAACGTTAAATATTTTAGTTGCCGATATACATTTTGCTCGATTTCCTCATAGTTTGTGAGGAGCGTTTGTTTTACGACGTCCTCGTCTAACAAGGGACATGTCACAACTGTCCGGAACCGATTTGATTCTCCTTCAAATATGTTGTTAAATACACAAATCTAAAAGACACATCTTTTTTTATATGTGCGAATATTGAGTTTTAAAGGGTGAAACACCCCTTTAAAGAAAAACGGTATTTTTCTTTAGAATCGAATATCTGTTAAACTATAA